ATTGCAGTCCTCAACCGCCAAAGGCAAGCGCCAAATTTAAATAGTCGATGCCAATAAAAACCTTGTTTCACTATAATTGTAATTCATGAGTTGAATGAAAATGAAGGAAACTAAGCAGCTTGTAATATTCTGGTAAATCTAGTGTCAATTTGTCGAAAGTAAAACGCGTCGTTAAAAATATGGTGACATTTGTTCTAGTTAATTTCATTCCTAGTTAAAACCAAACACTGCTGCCAGCATAAATTGCGGAGTCCTCAACCGACATTTAATTTAAACTATGACGCTTCTCTATGTTCTCTGGCTAAACTATGAATTTCTTCAAAACCATGAAGCGGCGACCTGTCAAGGTCGAAAGATTACATTATGTCAAATGCAGGCACGTAACCAGCCTTTTATTTTGGAGGGGCCCAGCCCGGGCACAAATTTCAAATAAGGGGGCCTTTAAAAAAAGTCTTCATTAGTATAAATCAACATTTTACTTGGATCACAACCAGTATATAAATTTAATGGGGTGCAAATAGTTGAAATTGACAGGTATTTACTTTTAATATTGAGAGGTAGAATAATCAAGATTTTCACGTTAATGCGTTAGTGACTTTACTGTACGGATATGTTTGCTTTTTGTATATAGGTATGTATATGTACTAGAAATACATATAGTATTCATTATGATATGCCAACAATTCAAAAAGTAGTTAAAAAAAACTTCGCTAGTAGTCAAGATAAAATTAATAAAATCTTACCAGGAATGAGATGGGTTGTTAATGTAGAATTATGCGACGGTTTTTATGAGCTGCATCAAATTCATCGACAATTTTTGAGGTGTCCAACGATTTAGCTGTTTCTCGTTCAATGTTGATAATTGCCAGGTGAACAAGTCTTTCATCCGACATTTTATTTCGCAAATAAGTTTTAAGACGCCGCAAACACGAAAAAGTCCTTTCACATGCTGCACTAGAAACTGGAATTGTTACACCAATGACACCTAATTTTAATATCTCGGGAAACACAAGATCGTACTTTTGTAGCATGTCTATAAAATCCATAATATTTTTAATATTCACTTTTGTTTTTATTTGATATTGTTTAATTGTATTTGGAATTATTTTAAGTTTCGCTTGTAAAATTTCGAGTTCACTGTGGTAATGTTGTGCCATGGGTAATAATTTGTCGTAGTTTAAAAATGAGGGATTCTCGGGATGTAAGGCGTCGCATGCGTTGACAATTGGTGAATTCTTTTCGAAACGATTCTGTAATTCATTTGTAATTAAGTCCAGAACGGGATAAAATATTTTGTGTAAATAGTCTTCTCTATTAAATATTTCACTGCGTTCCAAATTATTTAGTTCTTCAGTGACCAAGTATGACATATATTTCTTTGGCATTTTTCTTCTTCTTGCTGTTGCTTCTATTGGTATGTTGTTGTCAGCACATATTTTCTCTGTTTCAGAAAATATTTCCATAAAGGTTTCATTTTTGTCATCAGTTCTCATCTTCATTATTGTGTCGTAAATAGAAGTTATTAAAATGTTTGCTTCTGAAAGATTTGATGTGACTTTTTGTAGATAATCGCTGGCATTTTTGAAAATAGACAACAATTGACTATACATGCATAAATTAAATATGAAAGTATAGTCCAGCTGATGTAGAAGTCCAAGAGCTTCTGCTGACCGAGCACTTTTACTGACACTTAATTTATTTAACAAAATCAACAGTTCAGAAAACACCTTTTTTAAAGATAAGCAAGCGAAAACTTGAGCCGTCCACCTTGTGTAACATATTTTTTTGAGTTCAATCGGTTTTTTGTTTGGACGGAGTTCTTTCTGTATATTAATAAATTGTGCATGTATTGCAGAACCAGACACAAATACATACAAATTTTCTATCAAACCAAAAAACAAATTTGCCGTAGTCAAATTGCGACAGATATCAACTACTACCAGATTTAATCTATGACTGTAGCAGTGCACGTAGATGGCTTGTTCGACCTCATCAGTAAATAATTTTTGCACACCACCCACACGACCACTCATTACGTTGGCACCATCATAGGTTTGGGCAACACACCTCTTGATGTCTACAGAACACCATTGCAACAAATTTTTAATATAAGAAAATAAGGAATTTGCATTCAAGTCTTGGGCCGCGTGGAATCCAATAAATCTTTCGTAAACGGTACCATCCAAATAATATCGAAGTACAACCGACACCCGCTCGGTTTTGCTAATATCCTTTGTTTCGTCACATATTACGGCAAAACATGACGCTTTGTTAATTTCCGTAGAAATTTTTTCCAACGTCATTCGTGAAATAATAAATAAAATTTCGTTCTGGATTTTCGGGCTAGTATATTTTGAATTTTTGTGACCCTCTTCATTCAACTTCTTTTTTACGACATCATTATACTTTGCAAACAATGATAACAGTTCCAGAAAATTTCCTCGGTTACTACTCGCTGAATTTTCTTTGGATCCTCTTTGGGCAATACATTGCATTGCTGTATAAAGTATAACATCCACAACGATACTTACATACAGTCTGTTCTCTTTCACTAAATTCAAATGAGCTTCACTTAACTGTCCCGCAACTGATCCTTCTCCAGATGCTTTAATTTGTTTAAAAGAACTCCACTTGATCATGCAGCTTTTGTGGTCAGAACTTGAATTATGCAGTTTCAACCCACTTGTTTGGTCCATTGCTTTTTTCCAGTTTTTAAAACCTACACAGATAAATGCCACATTTGAATTTTGATCTGATGCATGAGGTGAGAAATGTCTGCACGCAAAACAATATACACTATCGGCACTGACACTATATTCTACCCACGGAAAGGTATTGTACCAGGCTTTATTAAACTGACGAAACTTATTTAAAAATTTTGTTTTTGGATAGAACTGTAAAACAGGTTGTTTTGGTTCATCCACTTTCGTCTGCGACAAATCTAAAGGCCCTGGCACATGTGATCTACTCGAGAGTTTTAATTCCGGATTTTGTCGAAATTTTATCCAGCTCTCAAATTTTGCTTCGCAATCTTCCGTTTCAGAATCAGCTTCTGAAAGTGATTCACTATCCGTTGACTGCAGATTTTCAAAACTCTCATCACTTTCTTCTAAAGTTTCGTCTATTTTACTAGGTCCTGGATCACTACTTGCAGTTTCACAAATAGTTTCTGCACTATCACTAGCAGTCTGTTCACCAGGTTTCAGTTTTTTAAATGCGGTGAAATAATCTGAAAGCGTTCGTTTTTTTTCTGACATTTTTAACAGACACAGTTGAACGACACGGGACAAAAGACTCCGGAAAACTAACACCACAAAATATCAAAAGCCTGCGTGTCAAACTGCATAGTGTGTAAAAGGCATATCTGCTGTATCGGCTAATTGCTTAAAAAAGTTATCGACAAAACCAAAACTGTTCACAGCAGTATCGCTTTACTCAGAGAGTTATATTATAAGATAAGAACATAAGATTATTCACATCTAAAATTTACTGTTGATCTGAAATTTCGAATTTGCTTACTTTTAAAATTTAAAATTAATTTAAGGGTGCACCAGGGGTGGCACAGGGTTTTGTTGGGGTGGCCTGTGTCCCCCCAGGCCCCCCCTTGGTTACGTGCCTGGTCAAATGATGACATCAAATCCATAAATTCTTATAAAATAAAAAGTAGACACATTTCAGTATAGATTGCTTGTTAGTTACCTTGTAATAAATAAGGTCTATTTTATTTTTATTCCAATTTAATAAATGAAGTTATTCAATCTATATATTTATTGGCTATGACTTGAATTAAGAAAACATAATTAAAAGTGAATTAGGTGCACTTTGTGTTGTCTAAGCCCTAACTCGGAATGTGGAAATGCGTTGTTCTATTTAAGACGCCCTCTTATAGACAATAGGTACATTAAAATATAAATAAGCTCGGTGAGAACATCCAAGCGCCATCTATAGAATGAAAATTTTCGTGCCACGTTAGTGCCATTATGCCTCTGTATGGCTAGAAATAAATCGTTTTAGGGCGGCAATGCATTTTTGCCAATGCCTCCCTAAAATTGATGCTAAAGCAGCAAGTGTCGCTCTAAGTCAAGATCGAGGATAATATAATTAATAATAATAATAATATATCTTAATTGAATACCAGCGGAAAACAAATAATTTAATACAATACATATTATAACATAAAGTGTATTCAAAAGGACAAGAATCTGTCATAGACAGTTTTTCATCTTATCCTAAACTTAAACAAACTAGAGTAAACTTAAGTGAGAGATTATGAGTTTTGAATTTGCAACAATGAATGTTTTAAAGACTTCTTATAAGTATACAGTGAGAGATTTTGTTTAATTAAGTCTTTAAATTCATTGATGAATAAAGGTGCTTTGTAGCGAAAGCTAGCCGTAAATTTAGATGTACGATGAGCAGGTATATCGTATAAATTTACATATCTAAGATTAAGATTGATATTCTGATCGCTTAATAAGAAGTTTTTCTAAATAATCCGGACTATTCAGTTTTAGAATTTTGTATAGCATACATCCTAAAAGGTACTGACATCTGAATTCAAATTTTAAAATTTTTTCAGAGTTATATACAGGAGTAACATGATCAAACCTACTTATATTGAATGCAAATCGTAAGCAACAATTGCATAATACATTAATCTTGTTCTTAAATTTACCATTAAGAAAACTAAAATATACCACACTACAATAATCTAGTACACTTAAAATTAAACTCTCAATTAATGCCCATTTTTCTTTGGTCGGTAAAATGTGTCTATATTGATATAAGGTACGCAATATGAAATAACCATTCTTACACTTTTTAATAACATGTTCTTGAAAGTTCAAATGTGAATCTATTAACAGACCTAAGTTTCTTTCGCACATGCTGATATTAATTACTTTGCGCTGAATTGTAATTTCACTACTTAATAAAGATAGACCTTTTGCACGTAACACAGGAGAACCAATACACATGCATTTACATTGAGACTTAAACCATTATTTGAGGACCATTCTGACGTACGTTCCAAATTCTTGTTTAGTAAGGATGGATACTGCTGAGTTAATATCTTGAGGATTACAAAAGACATACATTTGTGTATCGTCCGCGTATAGATGAGCAGAGACGTCTGAGGATAGACAGGATGGTAAATCTGCAGTAAAAGTGGTGAAAAGTATCGGAGACAGAGAGCTACCTTGAGGGACTCCTAGAGCCATTTCAATTTCTGACGACACGTTATCTTCTAATTTGACGACTTGCGTTCTATTTGATAAATAGCTGTTGAACCAATCGCAGAATGCTTCGGCTAGACCATAGTATCTAAGTTTCGCTAAAAGTAGTTGAGGATTCACCATGTCGAATGCCTTACTGTAGTACAGGAGCGTTAGTATACATAACTGGGAGTCATCAAGAGCTGTCGAGATCTCAGAAGTTATTTTCAGTAAGGCGCTGCAAGTGCTGTAATTTCTTCTGAAACCAGACCTATATGAAGGTAGAATATTAAATTCGTTCATGTATTTCATAATTATGTAGGTTATAATCTTCTCAACTATTTTATATGTGACTGGCAATAGATTAATCGGACGCAATTCTTTCAGTTTAGTCGCTTTCGTAACTTTGGCCAGCGGAACAACAACTGCTTTTTTCCACACTTTAGGAACCATACCTGATAAAAAGGATGTATTAATTAAATGAGTAATTGTGTCTCCACAGAAAGGAAAAATAAGTTTAAGCATCTGCAGACTTATGTTGTCCAATCCGGTGGCGTTAGATTTTATAGATAATAGAGCATTCTTGACTTCTTCCATAGTTACTAATGTAAGTTCTAAAGTTTGATGTGGATTGTGGTGTCGATTGTAATTAAAGAATTCCACCAAATTGGGATCAATAGATGTTGAAGGAACGTTGCAAAAGAAATTGTTTATGCGATTTGGATCAGTTAGTTCAGGTGCTATTTCGTTAGATTTTCGTTGATGTACTCCAAGATCACTAAACTTATTCCATAGTTTCCTTGAATTCTTTTTACAAGCATTAAGTTCGTATTCCACATAAGCAGCTTTTTCTTGTTTAATTGCATATGATACATAGTTCTTGAGATCTTTATATGCCTCCTAATGAGTTTTTTCTCTAGATTGAATATACTTTTTCCTTGCTTTGTCTTTGAGTTTGATTATTTCCTTTATCGTGTCGGTTATATAAGGTTTAGCAGGTCTCTTAGTGCTGATGGTTTTGAGAGGAGCATGAACGTCGAAGAGGGCTATTATTGCTGAGTTAAAAAAAGATAACTTGTCAATAGATTCAAGATTAATAATATGATTCCAGTTTATAAGGGAGGCATCTCGAGAAAATTCATTTGAATCAAAATGCTTAAAACTTCTATGGGTAACCGTGTTAATTTTATCTTTTGGAGGCTGCAAGTTGACTTCACAAAAAGTTAACAAGTGATCCGTTACATGTAATAAGTCTACAGTACCATGATCTAGGATTTCTCTGGATGACTTTAGGCATATAATATCAAGAAGCGTTGGTGAATGTTTAGTAATTCATGTAGGCGTATTGATCACTTGTTTGAGGTTAAAAGTATCAAAAACATTATTTAAATTTTGCAATGGACTACTCGGAACTAGGAAATCTATATTTAGGTCACCCGTAAGTATTATTTCGTCCATCTCGGCTGTTAAGTTTGCCAGGGTGATTTCGAGGTTGTCAAAACAGTTTGTAGGTTTGGACGGGGGCCTATATACAACTTCTACTGCGTTCTTCATTTTCTGAATTTTTATGCAGATCCATAGCTGTTCAAGGTCATTATTAACTGATATAAGATCAGAACTGATATAGCTAAAATTTATCCCCCACGACCCAATCTTTCTACGCTTATAAGTTTCATAGGTATAGTAACTAGATGTGGGAGGAAATCAGTTGGAAGCCAGGTTTCTGTTATGCCTAAACAACTAAATTTGTATTCGCTAATTAGGTCTACTAATATATTAAAATGAGAAGTAAGAGAGCGGACATTAACATGTCCGAATAGAAAATTTAATGGAATATTGGAAGTATGGTTGTTTGTATTTTCGTTATTTTGGCTAAATTCTGGTACATCACTTGAGCTCACGAAACGAGACTATTTTTGGAACATCGTTAATGTGTCTAATTCTTAGATTAGATTCTCCGTTGTCCATCCTAGTTTTAAGTTGTTGTTTAACTTCCTTGTAATAAGCCAGTTGTTGAGGAGTTTTATCCGATACTATTGAACAGTAATGCACCCCTTTCAGCAGATACCAATTTGTGAACTTTCCTTTTGCCTTTCAGTGTTAGGATTTTTCTGACTTTATACTGAACGGTGCTAATCCCTGTCTCATCAACATTAAAAATTTTGTTAGGATTGTAGTTAATCTTTTGCATCTCAGGTTTTAATAAGTTAAAAAAAGTTTTAACGTGTTCTGGAGTAAATCCTTGAATACAAGCTCGTGATAATGACTCAAGTTGACGGAATGATAACTCAGGATGACGAGCCATAAATAATTTCATCCATTTTTTGCCTGCCTTCTTCTTGGTCTGTGAAAATTGATGTGGAATATTGTTTCTGATCGCCAACTGAAACGCCATTCGTCATAATAATTCTTCTCCATTTGCAAGCAATATTTTACCAGCTGCTCTTCTAATTCCACCGGCAGTACTGGTTTTCTTCCCATTTTTCCAGAGACCAAAGTTTCTACAGATTTATTACCATTTTTGACGTAATCTTTCAAAGTAGCTCTTGGGATATCGTGCAATTTTGCTGTCTTTTTATAGCCTATTTCATTCGCTCGTACAGCTTCAACAGCTTTTTTCATTGCTCCAGCATCCCACAGTTTTCTTTTTGGCATCTAAAAAATAAAAAATAAATAAAAATAAATCACTATAACAATTCCAAAATAATATGAAAAATAAAGTGACATGACCTTTGCAGTCACCGTACGTGAAGCTAATACCGTCCCGGGGACGATATTAGGTTCGCGTACGGGGACGATATTAGAAAATTCCTATTTATTTTGATTTGCATGCATTAAACAAAACGTGTTGTTGTGGGTTCTTTTATGAAAATAATATATCGGCAGCTTCACGAATGTTTATTAATGTGAACGAAGACAGTACAGAATTGGTATCCTCTAAAAGATGATATGCGCTTATATATACTTGGATGGTTTGGTGATAATGAAAGATGACCAATGAGGAGTGGATGATAACAGGATGATTCTTAAAACTAATGGGTTTACATTACACCTCTATCCCTAAAAAAGGATTCAACTTAAGAAGTTGAAAAGTTGAATCTTACAGTTATGATTACATATTATTTTTATTATGTAGGTGTTATTGCATTTTTTTTTTTTTTTAAAGGACCGCATTCGGCCTCCTCTGCGCAACGCGTGCGGATCGTCGAGGTGCGAAAATGTTGCCGTGTTCGGCCGGTGGTACGTTTTCGGCCGGTGGTGCGTCTTCCAGAACATCCTGAGATGTAGATGCCATGCAGTGTGCTTCTGCCTCCTCCTCTGGACTTGATGCCTCTAGCGGGGCCAATGCTAGAAATTGCCTCGGCCTTGTGGGGGGCGGCAAGCGTCTTCTTCTTCGCACGACACGATGTACTAGAATGAGTACACCAACGAAGATTACGGTAGAAGCAACGACATAGCCAATGATAGAAGTATGTCTTAGGGTCGTCGCGTGTCTCTGGGCTTCCTCTTCCTTGAGGACTTCCATTTCTAGGTGGTCGAGGTTATGGTTGGCAGCACCTATATCTTGGATAAAGTTGTCATATGCCTTCATCCTAATAGACGGATGTCGTAGCTTTGTCGAATTCAATTTTTTCAGCAGTATTTGGCTACAACAAATCGTTGAGATGTTTAATGTGGGTACAAATGAAGCTGGACTCGTCTGGTTCTGGATGCTGGCTTGTGTATTGAGAGTACCGGACTTTGCGTACCCCCTGCAGTTATTCGCAATTGTTATACTCCCTGTACCATTAATTTTCACGTCAAATGGCGTCATGTGTATACATGAGATGATAACTGTGTCCACCATCGTCGTCACAAAGGCCCAAGAGTTAAGTGAGTGAAGTTTAATAAAGAGTGTATTGTTTAGATGTATCAACTTTTTGTTGCAAGAATTTGGAATAGTTTGAATATTATTATTAACAATTAGAGCTATTTCACAGCTTTGTTCTACGTGAGCAATTTTTACAAATGAGTTTTGTTTGCAAATAAATTTAGGTAAAGTGGAAGTTTCAAACTTGTGACAATGTGAAATTTCGGCTTCATTTAGATAAAAATAAAGTTGTTTGGAGTCATCTACTGCTATGTATCTGTCATTTGGCAAAATTGTTATAAAATTGTTGTTTAAAACGTGAGCAGGCAAGGGTTGCAATTCATAGATATAGTATTGCGTTACATCTAAAAGTGGAATTTTGACTACGAAAACGAAATTATTATTATTAAAAAATGACACTATAGATGCGACATCAAAGATTAGATGAGAGTGTTCCTCATCAGGCGTTGTCGGGAGTTCTAAACCTGTTGGTAAGTTTTGTTGAGCGATTTTTAATTGGGCGACGACCTCTGTTGGTGATAGTATAGAAGGATGTAGGCTACCACGGCGAGCGTCAAGAATCGATTGAAAGAGTGTTAAAACATCAAAACTGTATTGGCTAAGATAGGTATTAAAAAGTGAGATGTGCTCATCTGCACTTACTTCTTGATAGATTCGTTCAATATGCTCTTTGTTATTATTTATGGCATTTGTAATATTCCCTAAGCTTTGAAATAAAATTTTTTGGTTGTCAGTAACGGCTTTTAACGTGTTGTTTACGGTCAAAATTGTTGTTCTTACTATGTTTATTTGGTCTTTTACTAAGGTTGTGACCACGCGCGAATTTTCTTCTGATTGTTTTATTAGGGTGTCGTAGTGTTCGGCATCATCAGAATCCATTGTTCCAAATAATACTTTAGCTCCCTTACCTATGATGTCGAACCAACCTCTACGAATACGTGTAGTATGACCTAATAGACCATCAATTTGTTGCAACTGATGTTGTAGTTTTAAAAGTGATAATTCTGATGTTTTATTAAATATACGACAGGTGGTATTTGATATAACATTCACGGATAGGCAAGAGTTGAGAGTAACTTCCCTATATTTTTGTAATGCAGATAATTGTTCTCTGAATTCGTTGTAATTGACATAAGTTAATATTTGCCATTCCTTATTATATAATTTTACTTGTCCTATAGTTTCGAAATGAATGCCTGGGTTATTAGAAAATTGGGTCACGTTTACCGGTGGAGGAGAACAATTGGTAATAGAGAGTCACAAAGGGGGAGCAAGCACAGGTACCTGAAACAAGGTGGAGAGTTAGTGGAAGAAAGTAATTTAGAGAAAGTTAATTTGACGTTAGATAAAGAAGGGTTTTATCCGATTAGCATGGATTTGTAATGTACGTCTACCCATTTTTATAGTATAATTGACTGGTGTGTCTTTTGATATTATGGTGTAAGGGCCTAACCAAATAGGGTCTAGTTTCTTCGAACGACCGCGTCTAGGTGTTTCATCAAAAAGTAATACTTTATCACCGATGTTAAAGTTATGAGTAACGGTATTTTGATCGTAGATTATTTTACTTGCGGCTTTTTTGTTAATAATATTTTCACGGGCGATGTGATGACTATATTGGAATTTATATTTTAAGTCCATTAGATAATCGTCATAGTTGTAATTAGGGGTTGATACCTGTGATATGGCTGATGGTATGTTAGCTTTATAGCCGTATAATAATTCAAATGGAGTGTAACCGGTTGTAGTATGTGGAGTGGTATTATATGTAAACATTGCTTTTGGAATAAGGGTATCCCAATTTGTTTGATCGTTATTAATAAAGTGACGTAAATATTCAGCAAGAGTACGGTGGCTGCGTTCCAGCGGTCCGTTGGTTTGAGGATGATGAGCTGTAGAATTGATTTTTTTTATTTTTAGTAATTTACATACATTTTTAAAAAGTTCACTCAAAAAGTTGGTTCCTTGATCTGTTAGAACTGTTTGTGGGGTGCCATGTTTGCAAACAATATGATCAACAAATGCTGAACTAATAGTACTAGATTCCTGATTCGGAAGAGGGATTGCTTCGGAAAATTTTGTTAGATCATCTTGTACGGTTAATATATATTTATTCCCGGCTTCTGTGACACTAAGTGGGCCAACAATGTCCAAAGCAATTCTTTCAAAAGGACTTTTAGCGGTAGTTGTTATTTCTAACGGGAATTTAGTTTTTCTGCCTAGGATTTTATTGCGTTGACAACTGTCACAAGTTTTAATATATTTCTTGATATCTTTCCGCATATTATGCCAGCTAAAACGTTCTCTGATGCGTTTGTACGTTCTATTGGCTCCTTGATGGCCGCCTAATGGGGTGTCATGATATTCTCTGATAATACTTAGCTTTTGCTCCTTACTGATTTCGTCATAGTTTGAACTATCATTGATATAAATATTTGTATTTAGATTTTTAAAAGTGTATCTAAGCATTGCGCGAATTTTATCTTGTTTTAAGTGTAATTTAGGGCAAATTTTAAGAAATGTTAGTTTGTTTATTTGGTTGGAAATCGCGACATTTCGGAGAAATTCAATTTGGTTCCAAATAGTTTCATAATTTACATTATCGTTAGCAGTTTCACTGACTATAAAACAATATAAATTCTGGTTATTATGGCTCAATAAGATATGATCTCCTATTGTTAAG